GATCCTTTGGTTTAAATTGCAAAAATAAATACGGGGATTTAGAAATAATGAAAATAATAAAAATAAATAAGTAAATCAAGTAGAAGAATTCAATTAAGATGATATAGCCTTAGGTTTTGCTTAGTCTCAATTTCGATCGATCATCGAAATAGATTTTCTCTCCTTGATGCACGTCGTTTACAGTTAACGGAGCCCAATCTCCACAACTAACTCTTCTCTTGGGTTAACCGAAATTTTCAAGTCTATCTTCGAAATAGGGTCCTTGCTAGACCAACCTTGTTTCTCATCGTTAGCATCAAGACAATTTTTAGTACTGAAAGAGTCTGACTCGAGTTATAGCATCTCTCTGAGAATTGAACTCGATCTTGATTCCCCTTAGCGGACCGCGACTAAGTTTGTTCACAAGAAGCTAAATTACGACCAATGGATATGTCTTCCTAACTGCAAGCCAAAACAACCTTTAAGCCAAATTACATCTTTTTGGATTGAAGATGTAGTAACTTTAAAGGAATGATCGATTGCCACTATTAGTTTCCAGCGAATTGAAGAATGCTATCAGAAGTTACGAAGAACAAGTCTCAATTCTCACGATTTAGAATCGAGCTTCGCAAAGCTTTAGGCTAAGTGGAGTTTAGCTAAGCATGAATTGGATCATACTTAGCATAATGAAAAGAAAATAAAGAAAGAAAATAAAGAGATGAAAGAAAAGTAGAACCTCAATAAATAGTCAAGGAAATATGAATTCCAATATGAGTTGAAAGGTTGAACCTAATGGGTATTTATAACCCAAGAGTTCTAAGTAAATAAAATAAACAATTCCTAAATAAAAGGTAATGATATAATCAAACTAAAAATCCTACCGAGAGTTCTAATAAAATAACTAATTCTCAAATAAATAATAATAATAATAATAAGATAATCAAACTAAAAATCTTAAATTCAAAAGGTTTATCACAAAAGATGAAAAAATATTTAAGTTTTTTATTTCTGGTTGAATTCTGCTTTATCTTTTGGATAACTTTATTCTAGGTAATATAATTAAATATTCAAGATAATTTCACTCATCTTCTAAAAGAAGCAAACTGAACCATCGAAATCTGTTGGTTTTTGGGTTAATTAATCCAATGAAACTCTTGTGCAAAATCAACCCGAAAGGAAAAAAATCAGTAATATCCAAACGACAAATGAAGAGTAAATAATACTCCCTCAATCTCATTAAAAAAGTCCCTTATTGACTTTTTAAAAATCACTTTTTTAAACTCTGATCATGATTATTTTAAATAATTGAATTTTAATATTTATTTATATATATATTTGAAAACTACTTGATAGAAGGTTTTTAAAATATATTTTTACATATTTTTATCAATAATAAATTTTTAAATAATAATCAGTCAAAGTTCAAAAAATCAATAATGGACATATTCTATGGGACAGAGGGAGTAGTAAAATAGGCATTATTCAACACTTATCATAGATGAATATATAAGATAATCACACATGACATATATGTTATCTTGACAACAAATGTGGTATATGATATTCGGTCAGAAGTAATAGAGTGTTGAATTTTTTTTAATAGAAGCAACTAGTTTCATTAAAAAAAATCTAGAACTACAATGAATGTTTACAACCATGACCGTAAACTAAACATATAATTAGAATATTTTCCTATACCAATTGACACAATAAACTAGCTACTTGAGATTATACAAGGACCAAATAAAGAAAATGTTAAAAACTCAACCAAAGATTCGAACAAAGATATATACAAAGAGATCTAGTTGCATTGCCAAACAAACTACAAAAGGGGATCAAAACTATTGAAAGACCACCGACAAACCATATATCAAAGTCGAGTGACGTTAGAAAACTATCCATGAGCACAACCGCATATTCAAATCCAATCCGAGGGTCTAAAGCAGGGAATATCAACAAGATAAAAAAAATAAGCGTCATCTTGACCAGTCAAGACGTCGTCAAATACAACCATGAGACAGATAAAACGAAAAGAATGACTAAGTGATTGATAAAGAAGACAAAAAAGTGTAACAAAAAGCAGAGAAAAACGTTTCATAAAGGTAGAATTATTAAAACTAAAATACAAAAGGTAAATCAAAGATGTAATGTAAGAAAATAATGAAAAATCAAGGAATACCACCGGTCGACAATCAACACTAAGGTTAGTGTTGTCGCCGGCCAGGCAAAGATAAAAAAAATTTCAAGCGACACGAGAGAAACTTAGTGTTTGGATCGAGTGTTGGATGTTTCATATCAACTAAGTGAAGAGTGTTTTTATATTATATGATCTTAGTAGCTGAATCTATAAGATAATCGCACATGTGTTATCAATTCACAATCTATCATTTGTAAGTTAATATTTTAAAGATATAGTGTATACCAATTGAAATAGTTGTTACAAAGCATGTTGTTTATTAACAAAATAATTTAGCAGATTTTTTGATTGAACGATTCTTTTTAATATTTTTTAATAATAATTAAACTATAAGAACAAAACTTTTAGTATATGTATTATATTGTAACACTTAAACGCATCAAGAAAAATGAATTATAATAAATACATCCTATTATGATTGACTTTTAGTAATATGCCTTATATTTCCCCTTTGAGAATTTTCTTTAGATATACGGTACATGTTTAAATTGCTCCACTACAACACATAAAATGAATATCTGAAAAAGGTTATATATTAAGAATGAGTCTCATTTTACTATTGAACATTAATTAGAGATTCATTATAATAATTTTATTATTTTTTGATTAGATAATTTTCTAAACATCAAAAGAGAATAATTAGCTAAATGAATACGTTAAACATGTTATTATTATTATTTGGATCCTCGTATATTAATGGAAAGCTCACATAAATGATACAAACATTAAGTTAAGTAACTAACATTTATTAAAAATTGTTAATAAATATAATTTAAATATTAAATTATACTTTTATGAAAAATAATAAATATTATTAATTATATTAATAGTGTATTATATATTACTAAAATAAGAATATATTATTTTATATTATTATATTAATAGTTATTAACTACAATTTAATCTATATATAATTTAAAATATTGTTAATCTTAATCGAGTATTGGATTTGTCTAAGTAATTTATTTTCACAAAAAAATAACCTCTAATAAAATATGTTTTCAATATTTAAGAAAGTGATGAACTTGCCTCAACTATTAGTGCACTAATACCCCACCTTGCACTAATACCCCACCTTATTGTCCTGGGTTTTATTCTCTTCTCCTTCCCATTTCTTGTTTATAAATATGTAATTATACAAATCTATTTAAGTAGTTTACCTTAAAACTTTTTGTAAATTAAATGTTAGATTTATTTTATATATATAATATTACATGTCTTTGTTCTCTTGTAGGTTATATATTTGAGTCTCATTTCATATTATTATTTTATTACTTTTTACTCATAAGATATAGTTTAATATATTATATAATATATTGTCAATTATAAATAGAGATAGACACAAGACCCATATCTGACAAGTTTTGATCCGACTCGAACCTATTAGATCAAGTTTTTAAATTTTTTAAATATGATTTGGATTTTTTAGAGGATGAGTTCGTGTCAAATCGGATTTGAATTTATGGTGAAAATATTTGACCCGACCCGATTCAAAAAATAATATAATCATATCTTATATATTTAGAGATAATTATAATAATTCCCCTATCTTTATTTTTTTCAATTAGATCTCTATTTTATCAAATAAAATTAATAATTTTTAATAAATATATTTGTTTCGAGTCAGATCGGATTCAAATTTTATCTCAAAAGAAGAGTCAGATTTTAGGTCGAATGAAATCATTCTCAATCTGGATCGGATCAAGTTTCGGGTGGATAGTATATATCTTTTAGGTCGGGTCAAGTTAGCCGAAAACTCAATCTAACATGACCCACACCCATCCCTAATCATATACCAATTAATAGTTGTGACTCAATGGTTGGACTGTGCCCTTTGTACTCGAGTCTTGGGTTTTAATCCCCTTCCCGCTATTATTTTTGGTAGTTCATCCCATTTTATTTGATACGGGAACTGAAAGAAAAAATATGGGTATCTACGGCCAGCTCAGATTAAACCTTGGACCAAGACAATGGCCCAAGCGATTTTAGGAGTAAGAAAAAAGCTCGGGACCACCCTCCGATGTGGGCTCCACTTTATTTTAAGCTCACTATGAATTAAAAATAGAGTTGTAAATGAGACGAGACAAATCACGAGTTATTTGAAATTGATTCAATAAAATTCAGTCAATTTTTAAATTAAATAGACTCGACTTGAGCTTGAGCTCGACTCAAATTCATAATGAACCGAAATAAGCTACTTAACACTCGACTCAAAAAACTTATCGATAATTCGAAAAAAATAATATATCAAAATTTTAAAATTTTAAATTAATTTATTATTAATATTAACATTTATATGTAATTCTTTTTTTAAATAAAGATACAATATAAGACTTTTATGTATTTAAAATTTAAGTTTGAGTTCGAGTTTAAGCTTCAATCAAGTTAAGTCTAACAATATTTCGAGTTTCAATCGAACTTCAATTTTTGATTTCGAATAAAACTTAAAAATTTTAAACTTGTAAACTTTCGATTTAAGCTTCATTTTTTTATTTCAAGTTTAAGTTAAATTTGATAATTTTAAACTCATTAGTTTTTAAATTGACACGAATTTAATTTTATAATTTTTGAGTTGATTAAAATTCAATACTGCTGGATTCAACTTGAGAAAAAGGAATATATTACCCTCTTTCAGTTTGCCTGTAGGACCCATGTCTGTGCACGTATGTATATATACGCGCCTCTTCTTGCTTTCGGTGTCAGATTCATAAGAAAATCCCTTCTTTTTCTCTGGCTACGCCCCCATATATGTTCTGCTCAGAATCTTCTCAACCCTAACTTTCTTTGACCTCCCCAAACACTCAAGTCAAGGAGCAAAATAATAATGGTTTCTGAGACTCAATCCAATACCTCAGAAGCAATTAAATTTCTTTGCAGTTATGGAGGCATTATTCATCCCCGTTCTACCGATGGCAAACTCCGTTACGTGGGCGGCATTACAAGAGTTCTCTCTGTTGATCGTTCTATTTCGTTCACAGGTTTATTTTGTGCCAACCGTCTTTTCATTTTTCTTCCATTGAAAAAAGTGTATTCAATTTTTTGGTGTTTGTTGCAGAGCTGATTGTGAAACTCGATGAATTCTGCGGGTATTCGGTAACGCTGAGGTGTCAGTTGCCGAACGGCGATTTAGATACGTTAATTTCGATAAAGTCGGATGAGGATTTAACGAATATAATCGCCGTGTACGACGAAGCGGCGTTGATGTCTAAATCCGCACCGTCTAAGATCCGTGCAATCCTTTCACCCCCAAAGTCGCTCAACCAAATCTCTCCTAATACTTCCACCGTCAATCTTTCGTCTTCAAAATCGTCCGGTTCATGTTCTCCGGTGAGTACATGATTATATCGCCGGAGTTTCTCTCCGACACCGTTGAGGGGATATTCCGTCAGAGGATTGTATTGTCACAGTTGCTACCTGAAGCAGTATCCTAGGTTTTCTTTAACGCTTCTTGCCCTAATTGCTTGCGCTAAACTTGAAACGAGAGAATGACAACAGAGCCCCTCACTCGGACGGTTATACTGTAAAAAGCCGTACATACGATGCAGATGATGGATTTTTTGCAAAATTTTACTTACGATTAAGTAGAGCGGCATTTTTCCCGGAAAATCATCTTTTTAATTTAATATTTTTAATTTAATATTCTTGATTAGACATCGGTCAGATTATATTTTTTGATCTAACACTCTTTGCAGTAAGACGCGTCTCTTGAAGCGCGTTATACGTTGATTTTGCGTCACGTGGGGTAAGGCGTGCCCCCTGCGGCGCGCCTTATGCTGACATAGATACACGTGTGTATGGCGCGGGGCAGAGACCGCGCCATACGCCACGTAAGATATAATACGGGGCAGGGGCCGCGCTATTCAATTATCTCAATTATCAAACATGCATAATGCAAGGCGCGGTGCAAGGACTGCGCCTTGCATTATTTTCCCCAACTTCTCGGCTTTAAGGCATCATCTCTCGGCTATAAATAGTCGTCTCCCGTAAACTCTCTCACCAACAATCATTTAAATCAGTAAATAACATCCGACAATCATCTTATATTTGATTCAGAAGTTTGGTCGATCTTTCGTTATAAGGTAATTTTGTTATAATATTTATTTTATAGTTATATATGATTATTTGAAAAAAATATTATACTAATTATTTTCAATTAATTTCTGTGTTTGTAGAATTAGAAAGTGGAAGCATACGTCGAAATATTTTTGCGGTGAAGGTAATAATATAAAATTATATTATTTAAATTATTTACGTTTACGTGTAAAAAAATTATTCTGTTATATTTTTGGTCATGTATTATTTATTTAATCAGGTTTGTTTCAGTTGTTTTTTTTGCAGATATAATATTGTTGCACTTTTAAACTCTAAGAATGACACGACTTTCAGCTATTGTTTATTATGATGGAGAAATTCGAGAAGATGAAACCGGCGTTGTTTTCGTATCAAATGAGCGTGTTAAAATATCATTCAAGAGAAACATAACTCTTGAGGAGCTGATAACGAAGATTTCGAGGAAGGTTCATGTTGGAAGTAGTAGAAGAATGTCGTTGTTGCAGTACAGATTTCCAACATCATTGTTGCCATTAATTTATACAGCATTCGAACTATCGAACAATGATGATGTTGAAATGATGGTTGATTCTCAAAGTAATTATTCATACGGTTATATTGAGATGTATGCAAAGTTTGTTTAAGTGTGTGCTGTTCGGGGTCAGCCATTAAGCTCACACTATGGGCTGGTTGAATAAGTTGATCAAGTTGACAGCCCGACTATAGTAATGTGTAATGCTTTTAATGCCATAATGGGAAATCCACATCATGGGGCCGGCACATCAACTTCAATGGGGAGACATTCATCCGCAACTCCTTACGATATGTACCGAGGTGGGTCCACGAATAATCCGTATGGAAACATCGCGTCCAGTTCGAGGGGAAGGCATTCATCTGCAAATTTCTTTGACCTTAATATGGAGATTCCATCGACGCAACAATCTGTACAGTTTCCATTTGACACAATGGGTTTAAGCTCCAGGGGGAGGTATTCGACTGCGAGCTTTTTCGATCTCAATCCAAATATGCCTTCTAGTTCAAGGGAAAGGCGTGCCAGTAGTAGGTTCTTCGACCTAAATGTGGAGAGCATGGAGGAACCATCATCTCCACCAGAAGAACCGCTTCGTGAGCCTGGTACGGATGGTGCTGAGACTGGACTATTCATTCACCCAGAATCACCGCAATTCAACTCCGATGGTGATGATGATGTAGATGACGTTCCAGCAAATATGGCACAAACTGACCCTCCAACACACATGTATGAAGCTGATTATGATGCAATGTACAGACCAGAATTTGCGGATATAGCTCATCTCGGTGACTATGTATATTACTCATCAATAAATAATGGTGAGTTATCTTTAGGCATGGAGTTTTCAAGCAAGGAAGAAGCGATGATGTCTATCAAAAATTACAATATCCGTAATTTTGTTCAGTCCAGAGTCGACCGCTCCACGGCCAAAAAATATGTATGCTACTGTGCCCGACGCGAAAACAGATGCAATTGGATGGTTCGCATATCGAAGAGGAAGAGGAAAAACAACAGATAGGAACTAAAAGTATACAACGGCCCTCACACATGTTATGCTGGAGGGGTCAACCAAGATCATCCCAACTTGGACTCTAAAGTGATATGCCAAGCCATCATGCCCATGGTAAAAGCAAGCTCTCATATAGTTGTTGCAGTGTTGATTTCAGCTATACAATTGCAGTATGGGTACAATGTCTCGTATAGAAAAGCTTGGTTGGCAAAACAAAATGCCATTGTCAAACTTCATGGTGAATGGGATGCATCTTACAATGAACTTCCAGGTTGGTTTAGGCTGGTGCGGACGTTGAATCCTGGGACAATTATGGACTTTGAAACCTCCTATGCATACCATAATGATTGAGTTCTACGCGATCGATGCCAATTCTACCGGGTTTTTTGGACTTACCCACAGTACGTTAATGCTGTCAAATACTGCAAGTATGTGGTCCAGATCGACGAGACTTTCTTGTATGGAAAATACAAGCAAGTTTTATTATTGGCAGTTGTCCAAGATGACAATTGCAACATTCTTCCAGTTGCTTTTGCTATTGTCAAAGGAGAAGATACAGATTCTTGGGCTTTTTTCCTCTGAAACTTACGTGCACATGTTATCACGAGGGAGAAAATCTGTGTCATTTCATATCGCAGAGCTGAGATCAAAGCAGCAATGGAGTCTTTGGGTCCAATGTGGCAACCACCCTTTGTCCAATATAGGTATTATCTCCGACACATTGTTGCGAACTACCATGGAGGGTACAAAAAGAATGATGAGCGTCAATTAATTGTGCGCATGGGTAAGTGAAAGCAAGTTAGTAAGTTATACATTTTTTATCATTTTAATTTTGCAAACAAATCAAGTTATTAAGTTATACATTTTTTATCAAGTTACGAACTACTTCCTCGAACGTTTGAATCAATGCTTCAAGATTTACGGGCGAAAAACGAGGAAGGATACGATTACATCAGCCTCATCGATAAAGAAATGTGGACGAACGCATGATGGGGATATCGATATGGACACATAACGACCAACTTGGCTGAGGCAATCAATTCAACCTTAAAGGGTGCACGTCACTTACCTGCAGTGGCTTTGGTAAAAACTACATATTTTCGTTTGGGGCACTTTTTGCGAAGCTCGGGGGATTAGCTGAAACCTGGATGCAAGGCGGTCATATCTATCACCCTAGATTTGTTGTAGATATATAGAAAAAAATTGTTGCATCAAATAGAATGTCTGTAACAAGCTTCTCTAGAACTCATGAAATGTTTCGTGTCACAGAGTTGCCGCAACCTCTTCAAGGGATTGAAGCTGTGTCGTTAAGAGTAAATCTAAGGGACAGAACATGCGACTGCGGGTTTTTTCAAGCTCTGAAGTATCCATGCTCTCATGTGATAGCAGTTTGCTTGTATACACGTTAAGACTATACCATTTTGTGGATCCCGTATACTTACTCTGTGTTAAGGTATATGAATTTGAGTTCCCCCATAGGTAATGACAAAGACCTGATGAGGTTCAAGATTGGCTTTCGATTGTACCAATCTGATTTTATTGAGGAGTGTGGTCATCCAAATCCAATCGAATTCATTGCGATATGGATATCGAGAAAGATCTAGACAAGACAAAGATGTGGGCATTGTAGAAACCTAGGACACACTAGAAAAACATGTCCACTTCTGTTGTCATCAAGTAACAATTGATGAGGAAATGATGTAGTTGTTTATCAAATAATAATTCTTGTACTTTACTTTGCATTTACTTCTAGTTAATGTTATTCGATAACCGCTGATGAAGATTAAAAAAATGATACAATTATACGAGATTCGGCGTTGGCGTTATATTAACGAATAATTGATATTAACGATACAATAAGTATTAATGAAATGATAACCAAATTACAATAACTTATATAAATGATAAATTAAATATTAAATGATAAATAATAAAAAAATTACAATAAAAAAGTCCAATAAACAACTACAATAAAAAAAGTACTAAATACAAGTATAAAAAACAAAATCTATCGATGTCTGCGACGCGAATGTGTTCCACAGAGCGGTGGTTGTCGGTCTCGATGAGGATTTCTTCGTATCACTGGTTGTGACTCCTCGTTGTCATCATCATCACCATCATCATCAACATCGTCATCGTCCTCCTCCTCCTCCTGAGTAGGTACATTAGGTTGATGAGGAGCTGATGACGATGAAGAACCTCCATAGAATAAGGACCCTCGAGGTGTATAACTGACTATCCCACCAACCTGCGAAAACTGGGAAAACTAATAAAACCCTGACATCGCTGAGTGTAAAAACTGTACAGGATGTGTCTGTGTTGCGGCCATGGGTGATGTAGTTGAACCCGTCAAATATCCAGCATATGAACCCCAAGTCAGATCTGCAAACATAGACCCATAATAGCCTCCAGGAGAGGTCATCTGTGACGGTGGCAGCGGCGGGGTCATAAAACCCGGTAAAGGCGGCGGTGACGGCATCTGGTAATGGAAAGGCGGTGGCGACATAATTTATGGCTGCGATATGTAAGTCACTGGATACGGTGGTTGCTGTGAAGGTCCTTCTGGTGCAGCTGAGGATGAACCGGAAGCACCTGCTCCCTGTCTCCGAGTCGGGGGACGATGGTGTTTTATCGGTGAACGTCTCTGTCGACGTCATAGAAAGGTCTACCCTCGTGCATCCTCGAGATGCAGAAACAGTTTCCCGTTACTGTTAAACCACTCATAATAACTGTCAGCAACCATCAAAA